GGCAAAGGGCAGATTCTTCTTAACAACAGGGAAAAGGCAGACAGCCCCGAGTGCCTTGGGGCCTCTGGAGTAGCATGTGTTCTACATGGGGAGGCAGGTGGTCAAAGGAGACACACAGCAAACTAATCGGTGAGTCTGTTGTGAAAATGTGGGATGGTGTCTGCATTGTTCCCATGGGAAGCCACATGCCACCTGACAACATGTGTTTAGAAAGACTGTTACCAACATCCTGAGTGGCTCTGAGTGGCACCACCCTCTGCAGGTGCCTGGGTTTCAGAGACAATAAAATCTCAGTGTGAAGGTAATGGATTAGGACTGCTGTAAGATCAGAAATTGGTTTGGTCAACGGCACTGCCATTTAATTAGCGTGCAGTCTCCCAAGATATGTAAAAAATGGATGCTACATCTGCAGATGGATAACTTCTGCAGTAATTGTACCTCAAGATTAGTTTCCTAAGGCATTTCCTGTTTCCTCACACAAATGTGCCTGGACCTCTCCTAACCTTGGGTTTTAGATTCTCCCCACAGATCACTCTAGTGTGGTTTCTAATTCAATTCCCTCCACATCCCTCCTCCAGTGACAGCTCAAAATGGGGCAGTTTAATTAGAGGTAATGCTTGACAATGGGCCAACAAGTACTCTCCATTAATGAGGTGCACTAATTTCCTTAGTGGTGCCATTACCTCTGCCAGGCTGACTCCTTGCCAGAAGTTCATATGCAAAGAGGGGAGATGGGGAAATCTGATCAAACAGACAACCCAAGTCCCAAGTATTCCACAGCTGGTTTCCCTGCTCCACAATTCCATCACTTACAACACCTGGACTGACACTCCTGTCTGACACATCAGCATCCACTGCCAAGCACACAGCATGCACAAAGGCAGACAGGTGGGAAGACTGGATACCAAAAAGCTCTCAGTGACAAACTCATGGAAAGGGGGCAGCAGGATGGGTGATTAGACTAGGACTAGGTGGAGCCCACATTATAGAGGGTCTTGTATCCTGTGATAAATGACAGCCTTGGGTTTCAAACAAGGGAACACAAGAAAAAGACTTGCTGTGTTAGAAGAACCACTCTAGCAGCTATGCTAACAGGAATGTGGAAGGGTGCAGGAGTATGGAAAGGGAAAGAAAGCTGCTATACAGTGAGGGCAGAGACCAGTGTGGTTTTTCTTTCCTTATCTTCAGCATTTAAACACTCCCAAGCATACTGTGGGTACTCAACAGATATGGTCAGCCGTCAATGGTTGAATGAAGTCTTAGAAGCAGTTAAAGACAGGAGAGAGAGAGAGAGAGAGAGAGAGAGAGAGAGAGAGAGAGAGAAACGAGAAGCTGGGCATGGTGGTGCAGACCAGAGGACCACAAGTCTGCGGCCAGCTTTGTGTAGTGGGACCCTGAAAAGGGTGTGTCTGAACCCAAAGAGTATGTGGCAGGAGCAGGGTGGAATGGATGAGATCTGCAAAGGATTAAACAGACAAACAAACAAACTGAAAAACAAAACAAAACCAGGTAAGGCCTTCTGGTATATAGGATAACTAACCTCGATTCCAGGTGGTGGCTAAGGAGTAGTTTTGGGCAGACATCCGCCTTGCCAGAGAAGGGTGCTTGAAAATCTGGGACTTACACAGCTGTATGAGGCTGTTCACAATGACTGGGCTTGGGGAAAAAATATTTGGAGACTTAAGGCAACATGTAACTCCACATTCCTCAGTTGAAAATCTATCTTATTGTGGGGAAACTCACCAGTAGGTCTCTCTCTTGGGGATGTCCTCAGGAGAGTGCCAGAGACGGGCATGAGAGATGATGTTTAGAACACGTTCTTCTTGGTTCTCTATGTGATTCCTTGGATCATCAACAAGACTAAGCACTTTCTTGGGAAGGCCTTCTATTAACTTGGTCTTAGTTAGCCAGAGAGCCTGCTTCATACCTTTAGGACAATCATCACAAAACAAACAAAAAACAAAAAAGAGACAAGATAGTTCAGGAAGAGATAGTCATGTCAACCAGGTAGAACCATGAAGAAAAGGCTGCCTTAAGACTGCTGGGTTTGTTTTGAGTCATCTATGGAAAGAAACCAAAAGAAAAGAGTGGATCCAGATTACAACCCAACTTCAGGAATGATGATCTACTTCAAGGTGATGAGAGTTGACTATGGGACTGAGTGCCTGCCATGGGAGGGGCTCAAACCATGCTCAAGACAGCTGAGATCTCTACTGACTTCCTACAGGCAGATAAATCAAGGCTGTGAGACTAGCTCAGTGAACAAGCCGTTCACTTAAAACCCCTTCTAGTCGAACCCCCCCAGAAAAAGCCGGGCATTGGTGGCACACGCCTTTAATCCCAGCACTCGGGAGGCAGAGGCAGGCGGATCTCTTTGAGTTTGAGACCAGCCTGGTCAACAAGAGCTAGTTCCAGGACAGCCTCCAAAGCCACAGAGAAACAAACCCAGCCTCAAAAAACAAAAACAAAAATCTTCTAGTCATACATACCCTAACCCTGACTAGAAAAGCCTGTGCATACCAAACTTATCTCATGTTAGGTCTGAGTCCACCACAGCTCCTCAATTCTGCCATTATAACCCAAGTGCAGCCATGGGCAATAATTCACATGTGCGCATGGTTGTATTCCAGTAAAACTTTATTTACAAAAATAGGGAACTGCTTAATTAGCTGACCCCAGCTCTATGTTTACTGTTAGCAATCTCAGAGCCAAGTTTTACAGTTCTCTAGCATACACACAAAATATATAGTATTTAGAGCTGCCATTTACTGAATGTTACTTCTGTATAATGAACTTATCTATAAGTTAGATGGGATTTTATGTCACGTAAGGGGAAACTTGGACAAGACTGGAGAATTTGCTTCTAGTCACTTCTCTTTAAGGTGACACAAGCAGGAGAATCCATCTCTTCATAACCCATGTTGGCTTCTCAGGCCCATATTTTGCAAGGTTTTGTTATAATTTTGTAAGACCTCTCTATGACTTTTGAAAGTGTAGGACTGAAGATACATTTTCAGACTAGCTCAATGAGTGCAATCTTAACTTCTAAAACACTTGGCATCCATTACCAGGGTCACTCGAAGTGGTCATACTGTGTGACACCCTTCACAGCACCTTCTGAGTGGTTAATGGCTAGAAAAATTAGCTTGTAGGTATAGGAGTGGCCATCTTAGAAGGCTGGTCTATAGCTATCAGTTTTTCCAGACTTACGATTGATTCTCATAGCCCCCCAAGCCCTGTCAGATCTCTTTATTTCCTAGTTACCCTTTGGAAAATACTGCTCCCATATACCTCAATTGCTTTTTGCTTTTTGCTTTTTAGGAACTGCCCTATCCTCCTCCTGATCTGGGTGAAGATGGAAGTTTGAAGAATGAAGACATGTACTCCTTTTTTTTGTTTTTTTTTTTTTTCAAGACAGGGTTTCTCTGTGTAGCTTTGTAGACCAGGATGGCCTCAAACTCACAGAGAACTACCTGCCTCTGCCTCCCAAGTGCTGGGATTAAAGGTGTGCAATACTACCGCCCAGCTTAGAAAGGTACTCTTAATAATCAACTCTGTAAAATAATTCCTGATGATACTGAGAAGCAGACTGGTTTTGGTTCGAGACACTTATCTCTTTTTAAGAGTGACAGGTCCCTAAGCAGGTAGACTTTTGGATGCAAATTCCTTCCTTGAAAACACACCCCAGACACGGCTTAGGAAACTAGTGTTGTAGACCTGGCTCCACTATAGAAAGGAAGTTTTCAGCACAAAGGAGATGTATTTGTCCCAAAGAGACAAAGGGCAATTAGTAAGAGACGACAGGAGATAGGGGATGAGGAAGAAAGGGAAGGAAACAAGGAAAAGGAGGAAGCGCTATTTGCCCTGGAAGGACAAAGGAATACTTGTGGATAGAGTAGACAGACGTGGCACACAGGAAAAGGGCCGTTTATAAAGGTAGAGAAGGAAAACTTGTGTTAGGATGTGGTGTTTAATTTTAAATTGGGCATGTTAACTAAGTGTACCAAAGGGGGGCTTTTGATTGCAATACTTCAATACTTTGATAGCTGGACCTCCGTAGTCAGTCTCAGGAGGAGGAAGTGGCCATATAAAGGGATAGACATTGGGGGCTAGATTTGGGAATGTAATCTAACCGTTTTTAGCAAGGCAGCAGGAATGAGAGAGAAAGAAGGGCAAGGCCTCCAGAGCCATGTTTGCTAGGCCCGGGCTTGCAAGAATCCCTTCCACTGTCACCTCTCCAATAAGCAAATTACTTCTCTCTGTTAGAGCTGGCGATCCTGTGAAATGAAGAGATGATCCTGGAGGAATCACTCAAATTCTCCATTGCTCCCTCTCCCAACATTGCCCTTTACATCCCATTTGAGCCTGACAACTTTTAGAAGATAAAATGTCACTCCGGTTCTACTTTACAGAGGAAGAAACCGAGACCCTCCCCAGAGGCCGGGCTAGTGCTGCACAGAGAACAGGGTCTCCTCCCGTTTGTCCCGAGGCCTCACCCTCAAGGAGTCGGCAGCGCCGGTGGAATATGTAGCAGGGCTGCTCCTTGTACAGAGGCTGCTCGGGGATCGGGGCCGTGCGGTGGTACCGTGGATCCTTCCAGCCGCGATCCCACGGCGGGAAGATCGGCCGAGCCAGCCCGGGGACGAAGTGCATCTTCCCCTCGTAGGTGATGGGTTCCAGACCCGGGATCTCGTACACCCTGTCCAGGGGGCGAGGCTCGGGCTTCCGCGTGGAACGCACGCCCCATTCGTACGCCCCGCGTTTCGGGGCCCCGCAGCCCCCGAGGCCGAGCCTCCCAGAGCCAGCTAGCGCCCGCCAAGCGGGCCCGGACGCCAACGCCATACCGGTCCGGTCTCCACAAGACCTCTACCTGGACGCCGCCATCTTTCCCCGTGCAGGGCCTGCCGGGAGCGAAAGGGGCTGGACGCAAAGTGTCATCTTGAGAATGACAGACGCTTCAACCAATCACAGTTAGCGAATCCTTGTTTTGCCTCCGCCCCTTAGGCAGTTTCTATTCTTACAGGTGGAACCTGCAAAGCACTCTAGGTCTTTTTCTGCCTTGGGTTTCTGATACCTCACGTGAGGGGACTTGCAGGTGGGTAGAGTGGTGGCGGACCTTGCGGCGGGACCGGAGGAGTGCGGGAACCTCCAGCCTGTACTTGGGACGTCCTTGAGGTCGCTGTAAAATTAGGAGTTGAAAGGGCTTAGCGGGCCCGGCGTCTAGTGAGCTCTGCAAGTGCGCTCCTCTCCACGCCTCCTACTGCTTGCTGCCCACCCTTTCCTTGGCTGGGGCTTCCGAGAGCCTGCGAGTGGCACGGACACCTCTTCCCCCGTCCCCCGCCAGCTCGGCACCCGACTGCTCGCCCTGTGGCTCTGCTAAAAGCGGGTTACTTTTTCTCTGCTCCTCGGGCTCCCTCTTCGCCTCCCAGAGGCAGGACCAGTGAGTGCCAGGAGCCCCTCTTTGCTCAGCACCTGCTTCTGGCACTCTCGCTGTGGGGATGGGAGTGGTTATTGTGCTAAGCACCGGGTGGACCTGCAGAACTTAGGTTTGAGAGAGATAAAGGTGAACAGTGGCAACACAAACACATGTACCCGCTTCCTGTCCCTTTCTCTAGGTCTTTTTCTCTCGTTTAACCTCTGTCAAAGTTGCTATTCATTTTTATTTTGTTTAATGACTGCCCTATGGGCACAGGGAACTGCTGTGTTCCTGGCATCTAGACCAGTTGTCTGACACAGTGTATGCGTAACAAACGAATACATACTAGAACAAATAAAGTGCTTGGTAATGACGGGAGGACACAAAGGAAGTGCCTCTGAGGGAGGATGATGTCCTTTCAGCCAAGGCCTGAAGAGTACTGAGGGGCAGCCAGGCCCAGCTGCAACAGGGATTGTGCCTCCCAGATAGGAAAGAACCATGTCTTTAAAATTGCGATTGATGTGGCCAACTTCTCTACCAATTTCCAAAATAGTTGAGACAATAGTATTATTTAAACCCTAAGAAGGCAAACATAAGGCAAAGGACAGTATGACTAACCCTCACACTGTACAACAGCTGGCAGTTAACAAAATATTTTCACTTGTCTCATTTTAATACCCCCTCCACCAAACCCAAAGAGTAATTGGCACAAAGAGGCCTCATCCGATCATGTATACACATGTATACATTCATTGATACACAGCATGCTGTGAAGGAGGATTGATTGAATGGATGCGACACCATGCTAGGTCTGAACAAGGACAGGAATTATGTCCTGTGCACCTGTATGTGTTCCAGCACCCAATCCTGTGCCTAGCTCCCAGACCAGTCAGTTGGGCTTTCCACGCACCATGTTGTTGGACAGAATACAGAGTAAGACACCAGCCTTGTTCTCACTAGTGTCCCCCAGCCTCAGAACCACACTGAAGTCATAGAGCCTCTTGCACAGTAGAAAGAGTTTTCTGAAGCCAAATCCCCTTCACTGCTAAGAAGAGATTTATTACACATAATTGCACACACACACACACACACTGTAGGTAGTAAGTATGTCCCATCTGACAGCAGGTCCCTGGTTAAGCCATCCCTGTCCATGTAGCCTGGCAGCCCTTGAGGGAAATGTGGAGGGATAGAAGAGGACAGAGATAACCCCATGTTTTCCTTCTCCCAGGCTGACAAGGAAGGAGAGCCTGGCCTATTCCAGTTGTCCCTTTGTACATATTGCCCAAGCCCCACTGACAATGGATCAGAGGGTGGACAATGATGCTGAAGCTTGGTTGCAACTGAAGCCTGTGGAGCCCTTGCCCTCCCAGTGCTGTGGGAGTGGCTGCTCACCCTGTGTGTTTGACCTCTATTCCCGAGACCTGGAAAGATGGGAAGCAGCCCGAGCCAGAAATGACAGGAGCCTGCTGAGTGGGAAGCAGTCACCTGAGACCCAGGTGAGGATTCCAGAGTTTCAATATCTGTCTATTCAGGGCACCTGCTGAAGCCTTCCTTGACTAGACAGTGGAAAGAAAGAAGTAGTCATAAAGGAAACAGATAGATCCAGGGAACAAGGTCCAGACCTGAAACGGACCTATTAGTAGCTATGTGGATTTAATCTAAGCCCCTTAACCTCTTGAAGCCTTAGTTTCCCCATCTGTAAAATGGACTCAGATGTTTGTAATGTTTAGCACAGAACCTAATAATTATTTTACTCAAAATCCATTGAATACCTGTTTGTCTTAGTTAGGGTTTACCATTGCTGTGAAGAGACACCATGACCATGGCAACTCTTAGAAAGAAAACATTAATTGTGGTGGTTCGCTTACTGTTTCAGAGACTTAGGCCATTATTATCATGAAGGGAAGCATGGCAGCATTCAGGCAGATGTGTGATGGAGCTGAGAATGTACAGGAAGTTGACTGACAGTCACACTGAGGGAAGCTTGAGCAAGAGACCTCAAAGCCCACCCCCACAGTGATGCACTTCCTCCAACAAGGCCACACCTGCTAATAGTGCCACTCTCTTTGGGGGCCATGTTCCTTCAGACCACCACACTGTTATATGCCAGGTCCTGTAAGCCATTGAGGATTTGTGTCAAGCAGGACAAAGTCCTTGACCTCAAAAGAGCAAACTAACATATGGTATTTATACAGACTAGGTAAATAAGGGGTACTGTTGTTTCTCAGTTTTCTCTGGAGCTTACTGATGTTCCTTTCTTTTCTTAAAAAGAGCTTCATACATTTCATGAATAGTTATATGTTCAGTATATAGTGGCTGTACTCACCGTGACTACAGAAAATCAGGTTATATTGCAAAATGGCAGATTTCACCTATAGCTCTATATTTTAAATTGTTGTGAAGTGATAATAATAACATCACGTTTCCATAACAATTTACATTGATGAAATACATATACAAAACTAGGTGTGGTGGCACACTCGTTTAATCCCAGCAATTGGAAGCTAGAGGCAGGAGAATCAGGGATCCAAAACCAATCTTGGTCGTGTAGTGAGTCGGGTCAGTTTGAGCTACATGAGATCCTGTCTTAAAAAAATAAATAAACAATAAAATCCAAGAACCACCTATGTTATTTTATCTTACCCCTATAACCTTATAATGCTATCAGATGAGTGGCCTCTTTTTACATAATAGGAAACCCAGGCCCAGAAATAGCAGCTAAGTCAATCCCAGTGTCCTGACTCCAGCTTGGTGTTCTTTAGCCACAGGCAGCTCTGACAGGGTTCTTAGCAACTGTGGCTGATGAAGACTAGGCCATCCTGGCTTGAGAGGGATGAGGTAGAGAGTGTCTACCTAAGCCTGTCACTGCTGAGCCTGTCACTGCTGAGACACTGGTTACTAAATTCTAAATTTGATGCTGTATGCACCCAAACCTTACTCAGGTAAGCCAAGTACAAACATTATACAAGAAAGAGAATCAGGCATGGTGGCACATGCCTTTAATTGCAGTGCTTAGGAGGCAGAGGCAGGAGGATCTCTGTGAGTTCCAGATCCACCTGCATAGAAAGTTCAGGACAGCCGGGGCTACAGGAGGGGGTGGAGATTCCTACAAGAGGCACAAGGAGAGGTTGGGATGGCAAGGACAATGTGCTGAGACCCAGAGGACATGAATTTGAGTCCCTGCTCTCTGCTAATTTTGAACAAATATGCAGTTAGATTTGGATTAGAGACTCACCTGTAACAGCCTTTCTGTCTGCCCTCGCAGCTTCTGTGATGTCTGTCACAGATGTCAGATACCATACTGTTACTGTGACTGTAACTCTCACTTCCCCAAAGGGAGTTTACCAAGTACCTTAATGGGGGATACATTTTATGGACACAGGTTAACTACAGGGCTGAACCTTTCCCTCTTTTCCTACCTCCTAGGAGTCAGAGATGACCTGACTGCCCACATGTATTACATAAAGGCTACTCATGAACTACATGACCGGGAATCTCCCTTTTTTCTCTGAAGCCTGTAAGAGGGAATTCCTTCTTAGCCTCATGGGCCTGAATTTTCTTTGGAAGCATGCCATATTCTCTGTCTGGTGTCAATGACTTTTCTAATTAATCTGTCCGCAAAAGACTACCCACCTCTGTGTTTCTCCTGAAATCCAAGACCTTTCGTAAGCTACTGCCATTGGGCCTCAGTTTCCCCATATGTGATAAAGGATGTTGGATTGGGTCATCTCTAAGGCTCCATCAGTTTTTCAGCTCTCCAGATCTGGAACTTAACCAGTCTGAAGGATGAGCAGGTGTTTATTCCACTGGAGTGAGTGTTTTGTGTAGAGGATAGACTTGAACAATGAAGACCTTGAGGTGGACAGTGACAGGTGGCCTTGGGAGGAGGATTGGAAGTCTGCCATCTGTTCTGTGGCAGGTAAATGAAGCTTGTGGTTGTCCACTGCTCCCTTGAGTGTAGGCTAAGGAGTCTGTGCTTGGTCCTGAGATTGTGGGAAGCTACAGAAAGCTTAAGCACAGGGTAAACTCCATGTGCTGTGGATAAAGGGGAAGCAAGGTAGAACCAACTCTCTGTCACATCAAGAGATGGCTCTCATCAGGAAAAAGATGTGTGTCCCTTAGACCTGACCTCTAAGAAGTCATCTTTTCCTGTTGCAGGGCTGCTCCACCAAGCTGAGTCCAGAGACCTTCCTGGCCTTTCACATCAGCGCCATAGAGAAACTTACCAAGGACACCCTTCGTGTCCGTTTTACACTACCGGGGAACAATCAGCTCGGCCTGCATCCTGGGCAGCACCTTATCCTACGGTACAATCAGGTAGTGGGGGGACCGGTGTCTGCTTCCCTGCTTTGCCACTGACCAGCTGAGTAGCCTGGGGCAGTTTGCTTGACCTTTCTTAAGCCCTTCCTTGTTTGCCATCTTCAGGATAGACACAGGAGCACATGAGCTAGACATGGAGCTCATTAATGAGTTTTTGTGATAGTTAATAACACCAGCACTTTACCAGCACTTCCTAGCCAAGGCACAGCTCTTACTAGCCAAGGCACAGTTCTGTCTACTCACATTCACGAACTCATTTAACCTTCACAAAATCCTGGCTGGTAGGTGCCATTATCATCCCCAGAGGACATTGAAATCAGCGAGGTTCAGGAACTTGGCTGAAGGTCACACAAAAAGTATTAAATAAAGATTTGAAAGTAAGTAGACTGTCTTTGAAGCCATTGTAATTAGCATCGGATGATAGAAAGGACACTATAGAGTAAAGAACTTGAACACATGAAAGGAGAATTAAGAGTTTAAGGTCAGCTTCAGCTACGAGTCAAGTTTGAGTCTATCCTGGGCTATATGATATCATGTCTCAAAAACAGTAATAATAATAAAAGAAAAAGCAAGCAAGCAAACAAAAAAGTTTCCCAGTATCACGCAACCACCAAGTAATGGAACCCAGATTGCAGCCCAGACAGCATGGTTACTGAACTACACTAGTGTCCTCTCCTTTGAGGGTCCTCCTCTGAGCTTCCTTCTGAACTGCTGTGGGTCTCCAGCCTGATCCATCCCCACCTTGCCAGGGAGATGCATCTTTCAGAGAGTCAGTTGTGGGTTTGAGGCTTGGCAGAGAGATGAGTACTGCAAACATGGATCTGGAAGATATCATCACACACCCAGACAGTATTCAGGAGCATATGCATATGTGGTGGGGGGGGCGGAGGAAGGACATATATCTGAACCCCAAGAATGCTAGAGCTTATGGGGTTGTCAAGATGAGATGGAGCCAACAAACAAACTAGCAAAACAAAGAGCCAAACAAGGCATGGCCAAAAGGCAAGGTAGGAGGGAACTAGAAAGAGAGCACTCTTTTTTTTTTTTTTTTGGTTTTTCGGGACAGGGTTTCTCTGTGGCTTTGGAGCCTATCCTGGACCGCCTGCCTCTGCCTCCCGAGTGCTGGGATTAAAGGCGTGCACCACCACCGCCCAGCCTGGCTGGCACTCCTTGAAGTTCAGTGTTCCAGCTGGCAGGAGAAGCCACAATGTAGGTTATAATGCTGTGCAACTCTCCATCCATGAATTGGAGTGGCCAGGACACCCAGCTTCTAGACTGACTCCCCTCCATCCTCTCTACCACCCAGTAACATTCCTAATATATCTGACCATGTCACTTATTAAGACACATTCTGGTGCTCCTCATTGCTTCCACAATGACATTCTAATCCATGGCTACCCAACTGCCAGGTCCTCCCTTCCCTACTCCACCTATGCCTGTGTCTTAGCCTCGAAATCTGCTACCAGTTCCTGAGTTGCCTGAGTTTGTACCCCTCCCCCCAGGCTGTTCCCTCTGCCTGGAGTTACTTCCCTTCCTGGCCTCACCTGTCAGGGGCCTGCTCATGCTTCTGTACCTGACTCCAGCAGACTTCCCAGTTCCCGGATGACAGTGTGCTCTCCCTCTGAGACACATCAGGCTTTACCTGCTGCAGTAGGTGGTGCCCTGCACTTCACATCTGAGCCATGTTCTGTTCCTCTCTTGCATATGTTTCAAAACATGTCTTACATTCTGTCTAGCTCCTGCATGTGATGCAGTTGGACAGGGCCTTTAAATCTTTGTAGACACAAGAGCAGAACTTTTTGCACACAGTAAGTCTAGAGTGTTTGGGTGCTCCTAGGAAGTAAGTTGTCAGGATTTCTGTTATTGTTTGGTTTTTGGTTTTTGGTTTTGCTTTTTATTTATTTATTTATTGTTTTTTCGAGACAGGGTTTCTCTGTGGTTTTGGAGGCTGCCCTGGAGCTAGCTCTTGTAGACCAGGCTGGTCTCGAACTCGAGATCCACCTAGCCTCTGCCTCCCAAGTGCTGGGATTAAAGGCGTGCGCCACCAACGCCCGGCTAGGTTTTGCTTTTTATTTTGTTTGTTTTTTCAAGATTATTATGTGCTCCAGGCCAGCCTCAAATTCATGTTTTTTTCTGCCACAACCTCCCAAGCGCTGGGACAACAAGGTGTACCACCACATTCAACTACCTGAGATACTTTGAGGAGAAGGACCAAACTTGGAGTTGGAGCTGCAGTCAAACATCAGCTATGCAAGTGGCTTTTCTTCTCTTAACATTGCAGTCTGCATTTGGGTTTGTTTTTTTTGTTGTTGTTTTGTTTGGTTGGTTTTGCTTTTGTTTTTCAAGATAGGGTTTCTCTTTGTAGCCCTGGCTGTCCTGGATCTTGTTCTGTAGATCAGGCTGGCCTTGAATTCACAGAGATCTATCTGCCTCTGTCTCCTGAGTGCTGAGATTAAAGGTGTACACCACCACACCTGGCTCTGGATTTTTTTTTTAAAGACTTGTTTTATTTTATGTGTATTCATGTGTGCTTGAGTGTGCATTTATGTGTGTCATGAGTGCAGTGTCCATGGAAGTCAGAAGAAGGTATCAGATCCCCCAAAACTAGAGTTACTGGCAGTTGTGAGCCACCAATATAGGTGCTGAGAACCAAACAGATCCTCTGCAAGAGCAGCAAGTACACTTAACCTCTGAGCCATTTCTTCAACTCCTAGGTTGTTATTTTAAATACAATTATGCATAAAATATGCCTCGTACACAATAGACATTCATACCTCATAGCTATTATCACAACTCATGATTGCTGTCCTGTCCTCATTATTGGTAACATTGTAAAGACCATCCATACATTGGCAGGGCTTCAGCTTCAAGCCACTTTGGGGACTCTTCCAGTTCCAATTCTTGCCGGTCTATGGTAATGCTTCATAAATCTTAGCGGTTGTTTTTAATCTGTGTTATTTTGTCTCGAAGAAGTCAGAAAACCACAGTAATGTCCCACAAACTGCTCATGCCATCAGGGTACTACTTTTTTTTGTTATCAGTGTACTTTTTGACATAATTTTGTCTGATTCCAGTAAAGTCACACAACCAGAACCTAAATGACTACCCCTACTTTTCAGGAGATACCGCTGAGGGATTAAGTGACCTGCACAGGTCTCACAAGTAGCATGGGTAGTGGTAAGCTCAGTGCCCTTCCTTCTGCTGTTCCTTACCTGTCCCTTGGTGAGGACCTTTGGGGATGGCTGGAACCCACCTTTATGTTCATTAACCTGGCAGAGGAGGTGCATGTTAAGAGTCTGTTAAATGAGTAATAGCTACTGTCTGTGTGCTTCTCCTTCCCAGAGGTATAGCAGATGGCTTGGAAATTCAGAGAGCCTATACTCCCATCAGCCCGGTCACTGCAGAAGGGTACTTTGATGTTTTAATCAAGGTGAGTTGTTTCTTGTTGAAGGTTCTGTAAGCTGCTATGGACTCGGACCTCCCCCTCTAACTTGATTGGGGTGGAGGAGTTTCTGTCTGTTAGTTGTCATGAGAATAGGCTGACTTGAAGGAGAAATAGTTTGGGGGTGGGGGGGCTCTTCTCTCTCCTTTTCTAAGGAGGGTGCTGCTGGCCATTACAGAGGGAATGTTATTGGGAAAGTTTAGGAAAGCTTTGCCTTCCTAAACCTTTTATCAACCGATGGAAAGAGGTACTGAGCTGAGATGAAGTTCCTGCACCTCTGTGTGCTGGCCTGACCTGGGGTCCAGCTTGACCTGGATGGACCAAGCTCAGGACAGAGTGAACAACAGATCAACTCAATGCAGCGTGATGCTAGTCATGACAGAGGAGGACCAGCCCAACTCAGGGCAATTGGCATACAAGGAACTCAGGCCCAGCCTCCTGGTAGATACTGTGTCTGAAGGCTGAGAAACAAGAGAATTCTATAAAGGAAGAGCTCTCTGAGAGCTGGGAGCCGCATAGCAGAAGATACATGAATTGAGAAAAGTGTTCATCTAGACATAGAAGGGACAGAATGTCAGAAGAGAAAACTGGGCACCAAGACCCTTCAGACAGAACGAACCCGACACCCTCTCTCTGGGAGGTAGGCCTCGAAGGAAGAGTGGGAATAGGCCAAACATAGGAAAGGGTAACAGGAAACAGGTCTTCTGGGGACTATACTTAGCCCAAGTGGTGGAAGAAGAGGATGCCTGTGGGGCAGCTGGGCCGGTGGAAGAATTGTCAGAGATGAGTGAAATGGGTTGGATACAAAATGCACTGGAGACCCAAGATCTTAGCAATAAATTACAGCCATGGAGGCCTAGAGTGAAGAAACTAAGTAGATTGCTTTTCATGGACCCACTGACCCTCTGACATTTGGCTTCCAGCAAGTGCTGCTCTGTGTACTCCAACCTGTTGTGGCTCTGATAGGTATGTCCAACCTTGTAACACCATGCTATCATCTACAAAGTCCATGCTCCAGAGCAATTGGATCAACAAACAAACAGACCCCCAAACAAAAATAAGTTTTCGATTTTGCATCATGCCACTTTGATAGCTCTCCTTATCTGCTTGTGGCCACAGGCCATGGATCTGACATGCCTGCAAGTGAGAGAACATTTCCCTCGTGGAATCCTAGGGAGCATCAATACTGAAGGACCGCTTTTGTATCCAAGCCTCCTTGCAAGACTGTGTCATTATCCTATTTCGCTGGTCAGCAGGCTGAGGCCCAGGAGGACCAAGGTGGAGGGAGGAGTGTCGTGGGTGAGCAAGCCCCTGACTCTGAGGTCTGGGGCCGCCCTGGGCTCCTGCCTCCCTGCCTGCCTGCAGAGCCCGAATGTTTATTCCTTCCCACATAAGCCCGGGCAAGCTCCCTTCTGCACACTACTGTTTGTCTGGGAGATTCCACAAATCCTCTCCAAATGGCCTGCTTCCCTGCGCTGCTTGTCTAGGGTGCTTCTGCTGAGAGGATAAGCCTGGAGACAGTCCTCCAGTGCAGCTGGATCCCTCCCAACTTCAGAGAGGTTTCTCATTATCCCTAAGCTACTGGCTGGGAAGAGCTGGAAATGTCTTTGCAGATTGGGAAGGCAGTGGGAATTTGTGGGTTGGCTTTCCCACAAGGAAATGAAGGAGGGCTTCTTTTTCAGGCACCTGCTGGGCACTGATTATACTGCTTGTAACTCTGTTCATATTTTCTCATTTCAACTCTTGACCTCAAGAAGACCATATTATCCCCACTTTTAGCGATGAAGAAACTGAAGCTGAAAAGCCTCTTGGGTGGTAGGACAAAAGATGGGTTAGTTCTGTTTAACGTTTACTCCAAACTAGGCTGTACATAGTGCTTTTGTTTTATGAGACAGGGTTTCTCTGTGTATCTTTGGCTGTCCTGGAACTCACTCTGTAGACCAGGCTGGCCTCTAACTCACAGAGATCTGCCTGCCTCTGCCTCCCGAGTGCTGGGATTAAAGGTGTGCACCACTACCACCTGGCCATGGTGCTCTTTCTTTGGTGGTGTCGTGTCATGGGACATTTAAAGGCCATAGATGGGGTTCTCTTTGTTTCTTTGTTTTATGTGTTTGGATGTTTTGTCTGGTTCCCTGGAACTGGAGTTACAGACAGTTGTGAGCCACTATATTGGTGCTAGAAATCGAACCCAGATCATCTGGAAGAGCAGCCAGTGCTCTTAACTGCTGAGCCATCTCTCCAGCCCCCATAGCTGGGATTTTTACTTTTCCCAAATTGGGCCCAGAAACCAAAATGTGCTCCCACACAGCTTCCAGTAAAAACCCTCCCTCCCAGGCCTCTCCCAGGTGAGTAGGGACTTGTGCTGCTGGTGTCACCCACAGCTGGTGTCACCCAGAGCTAGTGACAGAGATAGCTGAGGGTGCACAGGCAGGTCTGACCACCAAAACCTAGTCTCTCCTTCAAGCCTGGGGACATCCCAACCACCCTTTCAGTTTTGTCTCTCAGTTTCCCCTGAGTCTACCCTTCCATGTCCAGCTGATTTTCCCAAGAGAAGACCTGGACTCTCTATGCTGTTGACCATGTGGCTGCAAATTCCCAAAGTTCTCTTTGCATGTCTCCCCAACTCCTGGGAATTCAGTTTGCCCAAGCTCGAGTGTTCCACCTCCAAGGAAGCCAGCCTTATCTTGCTCTATGGGCTCAGGGCTCCTCTTCATGGAGTGTGAGGCAGTATCTACCTTGTTTATATCTGAGATGTGTATACACATCCTTCCTGTACTTTGAGCCCTTTCAGAGGAGGCCTGACTGGATACATGGATTGACTGGAATATTCATTGCTGAATATTCATGGTTCAGGCACTGGGTGTCTTCATGGTGTTTTAGGTCTAACTGTGTGTCCTGCTGCCCCAGCATGGTGCTCACAACAGAGCAGACAGGCAGTGTAGATGGCTCACTCACATAGCAGTCATCCCACCAAGAAATGGTAAAGAATGAGCTGAAAACAGTGTACAAATGTACTTGGCTTTAACCTGCCTGGGATTGCAGAATTCTGAGTTTATAGCTGAGATTTCAGAAGTGGGAGGGTTTTCAGTAAAAATACAAATCTCCTGCATCTCTTGGAAGACTCCTAAGGTCTGGCAACATCTGTCCCACAAACTACAGACTAGCACCTGCAAAATAGCTTCCCTGTTAGAAGGAATGTCCCTTGGCAGACTGCTATCTTTCTGACCCTGAGTGTTAGTTGTCTTTAGTCACTACCCAGTTCTTTATTGGGCTGCATTCCCTTCATGGTCTCCTCTAGTATTTGGGTGGGAGACCTTGAAGTTGGTAGGTCATTGGAGTCTCGTCTCAGCCTTACCATCCACCTTGTGTAGGTAGATGCCAGTGTGGATGATAGCTCCAACATGTAGGGTGCAGAGGAAGACAAGCTGAGAGTCCCTCAGGAGACGCTGATCCTTCAGAAGGAATTCCAAGTGTTGGATAGGGAGGTTTGCACAGCAGAGCTTGCCACCCACTGACTGTTCCCTGTGTTTGCTTTAAGTGCTATCAAGCTGGGCTGATGTCCCAGTACGTGGAGTCCTGGAGAACAGGAGACACAGCTTTCTGGAGAGGACCTTTTGGAAGCTTTTTATATGAACCAAACAAGGTCAGTCCTTCAGTCCTGAAGAGCTTCGCCAGCCATGAGTTCCGTTTCAGACTATAGATGCACACTGCACTGTTCTTCCAACGCTTAACCCAATGCCCAGGGTGATTTTCAGCTTAGACAAGGGAGGGGACAGATAGGCCTAATAAACAAAACTGTCCACTTTACTCCAAAACTGTTGCTAGCTGCCTGTGCCTCAGAAAATCAAGCCCGAGTACTTGGGGTTCACTACCCCAATGCCCTCTGACTCTCATATACTGTCCAGTTGCACCTTCTTCTCAGGAGGCTGAAGCAGCCCACACCCACTGCTGAGAGCTGAGTACTTCTAGATTGGAAGTCCCTTGCCCTCATCTCCACAGCATGCTTGGATATCTGTCCAGCTTTCCCAGAAAGAACTGGTAATTTCTCTGTGGCTGTCTCATGCTTGGAAGAAGTATGTATGTATCAGGAGGCTTGAGAACCCTTTGACCCACTAATTCCATTTCCAGAAGTCTATTACAAAGAGAGAAAAATCAAATCTGCTTCTTGTTCATGTCTTAGTGACTTTTTTTATTTATACTAACAAAGGACTAGAGGCAACTGAGTATCCAACAAAGGGAACAGGTACTTGATAGAACATTCTCCTAGAGTTTGAAGTTATGTTTTTAATGATGCCCTATGCTTATGCTATATGAGCAAGTAACAAGTAGTAGGCACAAAACAATATACACCCAATAGGGAAACTTAAAATGCACAGAAAAAAATGTATATGGAAAATGTATGAAATATTAGCAGGTTTGGGTGGGGGAATTATGGACAATTTTCATTTTCTTCATTATACTTTCCAAATTATCTGGAATGAACACTTATTACCTTTATAATTAGGAAAACAAAGCAAAAACCAAAACAAGTGGAAAATAATGAATCATGCTTGCCTTGCCATTCTTTTTTGTTTAATTTAAAAATAGCTTTTATTGAATTTTACCCTTATTATAAATGCAAAACATGTTCTCTAACTAAAAAAAATCAGAGACAGACAGAAAGAAGAATGCACCTGCAAGCTATCTCCCCAAGATGCCAGCCTCACGTCCTCACTTCCAAACCCTCTCCCACACATGGCATATCTACACACACACACACACACACACACACACACACACACACACA